ATAGTTCTATGATACCTGATAAATTCAATGGAAAAAGTTTCATTTAAACTGGTTATTTGATGACCTGCCAGGTATGCACAGCTTTGAAAGTTGCCCAGACCTCCAGGCCATTTCTCTGAAGACGCGTATCTTTTCATGACAAATGCAGAGTCGTTAAGAAGTTGAAAATAATGTAATAGGTCTTTGGCACTAGGCTGGGGCTTGGGACTCAGACACTGAAGCCACTTGTAGTTAGGTGTTGCCCCTCCCCCACGATCTACACCAGTTTTTTTTTTTTTTTTTAATGTTTATTTATTTTTGACAGAGAGAGAGAGAGAGACAGAGCATGAGTCGGGGAGGGGCAGAGAGAGAGAGGGAGACACAGAATCGGAAGCAGGCTCCAGTCTCCGAGCTGTCAGCAAGGAGCCCGATGCAGGGCTTTGAACTCACAAACCAGGAGATCATGACCTGGGCTGAAGTCAGAAGCTCAACTGACTGAGCCATCCAGTTTTTGACGCTTGGATGCCACCAGTTTTTGACGCTTGGATGCCACTAATTAGAATCTGAAAGTGCCCTCTGTACCTCACTCCCCAGCCCACCTATCTTCTACTGTCTCAAGTAACTGCGGTAGAACATTCTTTGAAGGTGGAAAAGAATCAGAATCCTGACTCCTTGTCTTTGAGATTTATAGATATAATTCCATGTTGTATAGGCTGGAGTAGCCTTGATTAAAACAAATTTCAGAAAAACACAAGGGATCTTTTGGACAAAAAAAAAAAAAAAAAAAAAAAAAAAAAAAAAAGAGAGACAAGGACCCGATTATGTACCTGGATTTACTCGGTAGGGTAGAAAAGACTGGAGTAGGGTTGGTGATCATATTTCTAGGCTAATAGAATCCAACCTATTCCATGACCTGGCCATTCTGAATACACCGTTGTGCTTTGGAGAAATGGCTGCATGTATATGACTTAAAAACTTTGTTTTAAGTCCTCTCATCAGTCGTATGCTGGTAACTTTTTTTTTTTTTTTAATTTTTTTTTTTCAACGTTTATTTATTTTTGGGACAGAGAGAGACAGAGCATGAACGGGGGAGGGGCAGAGAGAGAGGGAGACACAGAATCGGAAACAGGCTCCAGGCTCCGAGCCATCAGCCCAGAGCCTGACGCGGGGCTCGAACTCACGGACCGCGAGATCGTGACCTGGCTGAAGTCGGACGCTTAACCGACTGCGCCACCCAGGCGCCCATGCTGGTAACTTTTTAATAATTGACTCTCTGGAATAACAAATGCATGTATGCACATAAATACATATGTTTACTATAAATGTTATTCATATAAAGGATATGTGGCATATAATTTTAAGATAATAAAACATATAATTCTTTGTTGTAAATTCCATACAATCATTTGATTCTCACAGAATGCTTTCGCTGCAAATGAGTGAAATCAAAACAACAAAGATATATATTGGAATTTCACTCCTATGTCAAAGATGTGAGCAACAAATTCGACAATCGTTTTCAAATACTGAAAGAGCATTATCTCAGGTTTTTGTATGATTCACATCATAATTGCTACAAAGACTCATTTTTAAAAATTCACTCTGCATTACAAACACTTTTGCGTCACTTTCTTAAGTATAAACAATAAGCAAATCAATTGATTCGTAGCATTTGCTTCTTTCTGTAATAAAATTTTCCCACCACAGTCCATCTCAAGCTACCAGTATGACATCACTGAACATGGAGCAGGTGTATACAGTTACGGTTATACAGGTTGCTTTTGAGTAACGACTGGGTTTCATAACCAGCTCATAATAGTCCCGAAAATCTAACAGTTGGCACTCACCTACTCACTGTTTCCAGCATGGCACTGTCTATAATTTTTGCAGCTCAGACAGTTTTACTATAAGAAACCTTTACCTGAATAGGAGGTAGGGGAGGGAAGTATGCCAAAAAAAAAAACAAAAAACCCTTTTGGCCTTGGAGGAATTGGCTGGAAATTTGTATCAGACCAGAGGACAATGAAAATATGGACGATTCATGCCTTGGGACTGTTTCATGGCTTTCAGTGATATCGCACATGCAGCTTTATCTGTAGCCCAGCTAATGCCAAACCCACCAATAATGGCAAGACAGTCAACACCAGTAAGCAGGGCTTTCCGGAAAGCTGTTCTTTTCAAAGCTCAATCTTTAGAAGTGTGTTTAAATTCTTATTCTCCTAGTATAAGCATCAGTGGAATTTTGAGTAATGTTTGGAGTAACTGTTAAAAAGCATTTGAATACAGAAACCTCAGGAAGAAGTCCAATCTCACGTGGCTGACCTCAAGTCATTTCACTGTGAACATTAAAAGATGATGTGACCTTCATCTCATCTCCACATCTCCCCATCTCATCTCCACACTGTGATGCCTGGTTATCTATGGCAACACTGTTAGAGGACTGTAGGAAAAAATAGTCTAAATATGTGAGGCTTTAACACCTAACGCAAACCTACACGGAAGGTTGAAAATACTCATGCTTGAAAATCACCACAAAGCGGCGCCACACAGTGGCTCAGTCGGTTAAGCATCTACTCCTGGTTTCAGTTCAGGTCATGATGTCCTGGTTCATGAGTTTGAGCCCTGCGTCCAGCTCTGTGCTGACAGTGCAGAACCTGCTTGGGATTCTCTCTTTCCCTCTTTCTCTGCCCCTCCCTTGCTTGTGTGCTTTCTCTCTCTCTCTCTCTCTCTCTCTCTCTCTCTCTCTCTCTCTCTCAAAATTAATAAATAAACTTAAAAAAAATGACTGCACAGAAAAGTCTCAAACATTTGCGGTTTTATTCATTGACAGTAAGGTGTATATTCCATCAATGGATGAATAAAACATTCTTTGATAGTAAATCAAAATGTGAGCATGAAGCCTTCTCAAAATTAGCATTACATGTGCTGGTGAGAAAGGATCATACATGATAAAATGCAATATGTTTCTATGTAATTAGTCTTGACATGATATGGACAAATACCACACTTCTAAGAACAAGATAAGTAGAACACTGAAGGGTAATAAAATGACACGTGAATTCTGTTCTCCCTTCTTCTGCCAAAGCTTCTCTCATCGAGTGGACTTGCTCTGCCATGGGCTACACAAGCAAAATGAGATTGGGGTAAAAATGTCAGTCACTTGTAGCTTCACAGTTCTTAATTGAGCCTGTTTAATTCGGCGGCACCTTGAGGCGTTTTGGTCAAAGGCTAATTTCTTTTGTTCCCCAAAGAGCAGAGTTAGCCTCACCATCCTTAAAAATACATCAAAGATCAGGCTTTAGAAAACAGGCAATTTCTCTGAATTCCTCTATTTACCTGTTGGCTAGGCTGATAAAAATAGAAGAAGTACAATTCCAAATGGAAAGCAAAATATATCTAAATGCAACAGTGAAAATACACAAGATTTCTGGTGAGTTTAGATCTCTTGATTCTTGTCCCGGCAAGTAGCATCTCAGTGAAGGAGATTTTTTGATTCACTGTCTGATTAAAAGAAAAAAAATTGGAAATCATGGTTATTATAAATTATAAAATATTATGTAACATTGATAATTAACATTTATAAAATGTAAGTAATACTAACGACCCTCCTGAGTGAGAACAGCATTAGGCCCATTTCACAGGTGAGAAAACAAATGAAGTAACTAGGCTTGAAGTCCCACAGCTAGTTTGGGGCCGAACTAAGAAAAATGGTTTCCTGACTCCAAACCCAATTTCCTTTCCATGCTAATAGATGGTCAATCTTCCCAGTAATGGAACATGCCCACCTAGCATCCCAAGTCCCTAAGGAGTTGAATGGATATCTTCTGCGATGCTAAGGTTTTGGTCTCTGTGACAGTATAAGAAGCTGGGCATGATTTCCAGAACTCCCTGCCGAGGGGATCACATGTCAGGTTGAGCAGGCCTTTGTCAAATGAGGCTGGCTAAAGAAATGAGTATTGTTCCTGATCTTAGAACCTCGCTGTTTTTTTTCTTAAGGAAGTGATAGTTGACGGTGTCTGAGTTGATTATTCCCTTTATAATCTCTCCACAGGTTTAACTCCAGAAAAGACTCAGGGAAGGGGGTGGGCAGGATTAGTATTTTCCATGTATTTTATCCTGAGATTTTCCCCATTTATGATTTTTTCATTGTTCAGGGACTATTTTTCACTGAAACAAATACCATATTCAGTCGGACCAGTTGGGTTCCCTAACCCAACTCACGTAGGGTTCTATAAAACACAAAAATAATACGTGGATTATAGCTTATTGAGACACCTTCAAAGAAATATCACCGAATGGTGTAGTATGTTCTTAAATATTATTAATTTTCAGACTACCTTGTAAATTACAACTATCCGCTCTTTACCAAGAATAAAAGAGACTTCTTAAAAATGAACTTTTCTTACTCTCATCTTAGTTTGTATTAAATTCATCACTACCTAAGAGAAATTCATAGTTTTTAGCATAGACTGAAGCCGTCTTAAACCCCCAGATGACCACATAGCCACTTTTCTCATTAGTATATTAGTAGACACGAAACCCTAAGTTGTTTTTGTTCAGTATGGTGGGTTTTTTTTTTTTTCTTTCTGAAATGGAGTCATTTGAAAAATGTGCAGTAAAAAAATAAATAAATAAGGGGCGCCTGGGTGGCGCAGTCGGTTAAGCGTCCGACTTCAGCCAGGTCACGATCTCGCGGTCCGTGAGTTCGAGCCCCGCGTCAGGCTCTGGGCTGATGGCTCAGAGCCTGGAGCCTGTTTCCAGTTCTGTGTCTCCCTCTCTCTCTGCCCCTCCCCCGTTCATGCTCTGTCTCTCTCTGTCCCAAAAATAAATAAATGTTGAAAAAAAATTAAAAAAAAAAAAAATAAATAAATAAATAAATAAAATAAAGTTTAACAAATGAATTAAACGAAAATATAAAGTGAGTTGTGTTTTCTTGTACTATAGAACTTAGTGGCCCATCTTTCTCAACTCTGAAATAAAAATGAGAACATATTTGGGAACAGAGAATGAAAAAAAGGGTCTTACATGATATGGTTCAGAGTGGCTCCTCTACAGTCAGCTCCAGATTTTAATTTACAGGTCATGGCCTCACAGCAAGGATTGGAACATTTCTTTAAAGCACACAGACAGGGAAAGTTGGTTCAGCATTTCTTCCTACACACTAGGTTCATACAATTTTTAGTACAAGATGGCAAAGAAATTTCACTTTTTAAACTAAATTACTCTGCTCTACAAATTACAGAGGAGATGACCAAGGAAATGTCATAGTAGAAAAACATGTTAAGTCCAATGAAAACCACTTCTTAAAAGGACAAAAAGAGAATTCTCCAAGAATTACCACAAATAAATTTGGTCTAGCTGGTATTACGTGTAAGTTAATTTAAAACTTCAAGGGAGAATACTTCTCTACGACTCAAACTATTTGAAGGTAGGGGAAAAAATGTTAATTCTCAAGTTATTTTACTAAGCCTCCATAATTCTGGTAATGAGAGTTGGTAATGAATACTCACACACACGTACACACATGCGTATGCACACCCAATTCTCATTTACGAATAGAAGTACAAAAGCTTGAATAAAATATTAGTAAAACACCAGTTTATTAATATAATAACTCTCCATTACAACGATGCAGGGTGTTTTTTTTTTCACCAAAAGTACAAGGGTGCCTCAACTATACAGAATAAAGTAATATAATCCATCATATTAAGAGACTGAGGGTAGAAAAAAACTAATATTATTGTGATAGGTGGCAAAGATTAGAAAATAAAGATAATTTAGAAGGAAGGAAAATCTATCTGATAAATAGCAAAAATATATCCAATAAAATAAACAGTTAGACATGGATTATTGATAGTCTATATTTTTATGGAAATTCTGACATGCTATGAGAGAAAGAAAAGATATGAAAATGTAACAATAATTGGAAAGTATAAATCACATTTTCATCCCTTGTATGTAATAAAATATTTGACCTGGTAAAAAACAGAGAATCAACTCTAAAAACATTGGATGAGTCCCTAAGATAGCTCTTTAAGATAATAAAATAACATTAAAAAAGTAATAAATCACCTAATATAAAAAAGTAAACATTACACATACTAATAGAAAAAAGAAAAATAGAAAATACTTGAGAATAAGCTTTCAGAATAAAGTAAGAGCTACAAGAAGAACTTTATATTTAACTGTCCCGAGAAACTCAAAACGCAACTAGTCTAAAACAATAATACTGTGCAAGTGGCAGTGGCCTTCGGAGTGAAATACGAATTTCATGCATTTCAATCAGAATCCCAATTCTATTTGTGGGAAAACTGACAAAATACCAAGAATTATATGGAAGAATGAACACTGAGGAATGACTACACAAATCCCACCCCCCAAAATCAACACATTTGGGGCGCCTGGGTGGCTCCGTCAGTTAAGTGTCCAACTCTTGGTTTCAGCTCAGGTCATAATCTCACAGTTGGTGAGTTCGAGCCTACATCGGTCTCTGTGCTGACAGCATGGAACCTGCTTGGGATTCTCTCTCTCTCTCTCTCTCTCTCTCTCTCCCTTTCTCTCTGCCTCCCCCAGTTGTGCTCTCTGAGTCTCTCTCTGTCTCAAAATAAATAAATAAACTAAAAAGAAAAAGTAAACACACTCGCCACTGAAGGTATTAAAATACATTGCATAGTCACAGTCATTAAAATAGCAGGATGCTGTGATAATATTTAGACCAATGGATATTATGGTTATTTTTAAGATCTAGAAAAAGGCTTAAATATGTAGATCAAAACAGTGAAATAGCATATTAGATCATAGAAAATAGGACTATTCACTAAAAAATACTATATAAAGGTTATATACTATGTTTTGGGTAGGAAAACAGCTGTTGAAAAATTCAGTTGTTCATAAGCTTGACTTCCTAGTTGTATTCCACTCCTAAGGAAGAAAATCAACACAAAATGGAAACAATATAGGAGTTGGCTGATACACTTAAAGAATATTAGATCTTTCACATAATATAGACAGTGTTTTCTCTCTCTCTCTCATCTCTCTGTCTGTGTGCACTGACTATATGCCATGCACCTGCTGACATTAGAAGCACCTAAGACCGTAAATGATTTCAATTGTCTTCTACCCAAGCAGGTTTACTGGAGTGTAAGCAAGGTGGGAATGAGATAAACTTAAAGCTAACTCATTATAAAGCACCACATTATTTGTAAAATTTCATTTCTCATTACAATTAAAAGAATATTTATAATATCCTTTACAAATGATTGTTACACCATGAAATGTTCTAATGTAATTCGACAGCTTAAAATGTCTACATTAATAGCAGAGGCATAGGGCGATTATGAACATGTTTATGTATGGAACGTGGGATTTAATGTGGGATAGCTGGCAAATATTCTTTCAGAGACACTGATGCCCGACAGGGGTCAGATTTTTGTAAAGATTAGCAGAATTATAGTAATTATCTCAGACATTTTATATTAACAGCTAATTTTCTACAGGCTTATGCGATTTTCTCTCTCTCTTCTTTTTCCTTCCCTGTTTCATTTACTGCTTGGTTTATACACTGGCTTGTTGAGTGAAGGCCAGCTCTCTCTATGGAAAGAAGTTACGTCTAGATCTGTAATTGGTTTTGCTTAACAAATGATCAACTGTGACTTGAGGTGATTTAAGGATTTCTGACTAATACATCTAGGAAAGATTATAAATGACATGTTATAGTTAATGATTTACTTCTTTACATTGAGCTTTATATAATCATGTCATAAGTGTATCCTGGCTTTTGAAATGCCTTTCAAAATATGTCTAAAATCGGTATTAAAAACACAAGGACAGGAGCGCCTGGGTGGCTCAGTCGGTTAAGCATCCGACTTCGGCTCAGGTCATGATCTCACAGTCTGTGGGTTCGAGCCCCGCATCGGGCTCTGTGCTGACAGCTCAGAACCTGGAGCCTGTTTCATATTCTGTGTCTCCCTCTCTCTCTCTGACCCACCCCTGTTCATGCTCTGTCTCTCTCTGTCTCAAAAATCAATAAACGTTAAAAAAATTTTTTTTAATAAAAATAAAAAATAAAAATAAAAAAATAAAAAATAAAAATAAAAAAATAAAAAAAAATAAAATTAAAATTAAAATTTAAAAAAAAACCACAAGCCCACTTTTTTACTGTGATGGCAAGCTTATCTTTAGAAAGACTTTCCAAAAGAACATTTTTAAAGAAGGAAAAGGAAACAGCATAATTCTCATGTTGCAATAACTCTATAATAAATTTCAAACCGTGGATATTTTCCTACCTTAGGAGGGCCACAATCACAATCTTCTCCTACTTCCAGAAGTTGGTTCCCACACACTGGCTTTGTTATTATATTTTTAGGAATTGGTGCTTGTAGCAGGCACTTTGGTTTTTGAGATAAAATGTATTTCTCAAAATGTGCACGGCAGGATGTACTGAAATCTTTTGGGAATTTTGAGCTGTAACCAGAAGAAAAGTCATGATATATAGTGAGAAACTGATTTGTCTAACTATATCCCCAGGTTCAATGGAAATTCCAAATTCAGTATTTGTTTAGGACAGTACTATGTTATATGTGAAGGGCAAAAGGGCGTAAATACTAGGCTAGTTGGAAAATTGTTTTCCTAGACTGAGCTTGTAGAACTGGAAGAATTTAAATTCCTGTGTGGATTCCGTACTGTCCTAAATGGCAAGAGTGATGAATGAGCCAATTCTATGAACATATTTCTCTTCCTATTCATGACCACTTTTAAGAGCAAAGTATTTTTTTTTCATTTTTCTATCCCAAGTCCTTGCAAATTTCCTGGCATTAGAAGGTAATTAATAACAACATAAAAATGGATGGAGTGATTAGTGATGGGGATATATAAGAATGTTGTCATCATCTTACTGACTTACTTACTTAGATGTCATCATCTTACTTAGATATTTTAAGAAAATATATTCCTATTTACTAATAATAAGTAGGTACATCTTAATCCCCTTCATCTATGTTTCCCATCCCCCTCCCCTCCCCTCTCTGGCAACCACCAGTTTGTTCTCTGTATTTATGAATATATTTCTGGTTTTGTCTGTTTGTTAGTTTATTCATTTATTAGTTTGTTCCTTAGTTTTGATTTTTAAATTCCATTTATAAGTAAAATAATATGATATCTGTCTTTTTCTGTTTGATTTATTTCACTTAGCACAATACTCTCTAAATCCATCCATATTGACATGAATGGCAGGATTTCATTCTTCTTAATGTCTGAGTAATATTTCATTATATTGTGTATATATATATGTATATATATATGTATGTATATATATCCATTCACTTATTTTTTTTTAAATTTTTTTTAATGTTTATTTATTTTTTAGACAGAGACAGAGCATGAACGGGGGAGGGTCAGAGAGAGAGAGGGAGACACAGAATCCGAAACAGGCTCCAGGCTCCGAGCTGTCAGCACAGAGCCTGACGCGGGGCTCGAACTCACAAAACGCGAGATCATGACCTGAGCCGAAGCCGGACGCTTAACCGACTGAGCCACCCAGGCGCCCCATGCATTCACTTATTGATTGACATGTAGGTTGCTCCCATATCTTGGCCATTAAAGTCTTTTAAGTTAAAATAACATGGTTACCATACTCATAATCTCTAACTTGGCATATTTGGAAATCTGAAGTAATGAGCCCCGATAAGCTAGTAAAACCTGTGCATCAATAGGTTGGAGTGTGAATTAATGGGGTTCACAGCCCTTAGTAAAAAAACAAAAAAAACAAAAAACAAAAAAACAACAAAACAAACAAAAGCCCCCAAAACACAAGAATCCATTCACTATATTGACTGTATCTGAATCCTTTAAAATTTAAGAAATATTTAAATTTAAGAATTAAGAAATATATATATATTTTTCTCAAGCGTGACAAAGTCTCACCTCAGATATTGATTCATCACACAACTCCCTGAGGGACACTTGGTGTAATAGGGAACATCAGGCATACCAAGGACATGACCTAATTCATGTGACATCACTCCTACAAGAGACACACTATTCTTTTTCTTAGCCTAGAAAGAAGCAAAAAAAAAAAAAAAAAAAAAAAAAAAAAAAAAAAAAAAAAAAAAAAAAAAAAAAAAAAAAAAAAACCAGAAACATCTATTACTTACGATATTTAGTTATTTCCTAGCTAAAGAAAATAGTTTGACAGATGAAAAATAATGAGTCATTAAGCTCTTTTCCCTGCCATTGGCTATCATAAAATGTTGAACTGACATTTGAACTGGTTGGCTCCTGTGAATCCAACCATCCAGTCAGTGCTCAATAAATACTTGCTGAGCTAATGAGGAGTTCTCGGTAAACCATGATTAAATTGAAGTAATTACGTTCTTCACAGGAGGTACAATACTATGTTTTCAAAGCCCTCCACGAACAATTGCCAGAATGGTTGGCATTGGTAATGCTTGGCCACATGACACCAAAATGCACCTTGACTGACCTCTCTGGCCATTGATACTGAAGATGATTAATTTGAAGTTGGCTCAGGCCACAGAGGGCATCTTGGTTCCCTTTCTGTTCCAATTTCCTGTTTTTACTCCCTAATACCAACTAAAGAATGAATACTTCTGGGAGGGCCAGTCTAAGGAAACATTCTATTTTATAATCTAAAGGAGCTTCAGTGTAATGATCTACCAGTAGGTTAATTTCTACTTTTATTTACTGACTCAGCAAGTGTTCGTTGTGCTAACTCTGTAGAAGGCATTATTCTGGTCTATCATAGAGGATACAGAACCACAGGGAGCCTTACTATGAGTTTACCAACCTCAATAACAGCAACTGAAGATGGGGAGCACAAGGAATTCGTGGCTGCCATTCCTACACGTCGATTGGTGAAGTCAATTCCACTGTGTGAAAGTTACAGGCATATTGTCACAACGTAAGTCTTTGGAACCATTAGCTTTTGTCAATTATGCTCTAGATTTCCTGTTTCTCTACCCTTTTCATATTCAGTAGGCCCCAGAAAGTCTTCTGCTATTCCACAGCATTGTACGATCACAGATGGTTATCCCACATCCAGGAGTCCATTTTAGTGACCTGACATGGGTCTCTACATTCTTACAGGTGAATTCCTAACGGTAGAACTTCAGGTTCCCCGACAACGGCTTGGGGAGATAGCATTGAACAGAAACCTCTACCAAGAGCCGTTGGGGATAACTATCCACCCTGCCTACCTACGCCTTGCCCTGGCCGGCACGTGCTCACCTGAGTAGCTGTGCATGGTCGTGTATCTTCATTTTCTCCAGGTTGGAACGATGCCAATTCAGAAAGTTGTTAAAGGTGGCACCTGTGTTGGGTACCACCTTTATCTTATCAGCGTCAGACCAGATTTCCATACCCACCAACGCCACTTGAACATCTATTGTTTTATAGATCTGTGGGAAGAGCGTCTTTTTTTCATGAAAATGTTTACGGTTTCTTTATTATCTTAGATCTTGTGCTGATCACCACTGATGGATAAGTGTATCCTACTTTGAAAATAGAAATCCTAGAAGTTGCCTTTGCTACAATGTATGTGATATTACCTTGTTGATCCTTGCCCGCTGAGTTTCCCAAAACTGCTGATGTCAAGCCACTGTGACCCTCCCAACTCCCTCTTTGGCGAAAACTCCTTCTGTGGCGAGTCCCCAGGCTTCTATGTGGAAATGCATGTTTACAGGGCAAATATCTTACCACATTGAGTAGGTTCATCACATCAAACAAAAAGCTTCTTATCAAAGTTAGATTCCCCTTATATATGTTGTACTGTAAAATACAAAATGCGAACACGATTAAAAAATAAAGTGGATGTGGCACAGAATTTAACATTTTAAGAAAAATTACAAATTTCAACATAAGTAAACGTGTATTCATTCATGTCTGACTTATATAACACTCTGTGTTTCAACAAATTCTTTCTAAACGTAAGAATTCTTTAGTGTTCAGTGGTTTTCATTTGTAAGGATGAAGAAATCAAATGAACAATTTCAATGTTTCTAACCAATTCAACAACATTAAAATTTGATTATAAAGCAGTATTGGCTAAGCCAGAATCACAGATTCTAGTACTTGTATAAATATAAATATAATTTATAAAATATATATAGTTTTGTATCTGCTTTATGTTTACATAATGGAGTGAGAATTTAAAAAACATTTTAATAACCCATTCTTTAAATTTTTCATGATTATAGTTGATTTCTTGGAGCTATCTGGTATTGAGTATGCTTCCAATATCTGAATATACTGGCAGCAGGTGGATATTAAAGGGGGTGGGTAAGTGACAACCATTGCCCACAAGGAAGGTGGAAAAGACATGACATTCAGGTGGGCAGGGCCTAAGTTTTCAGCTAGAATAGCTTATGGCTTGTGTTCACTGGATAAGAAATCTTAATTTTTTTTTAACGTTTATTTATTTTTGAGACAGAGAGAGACAGAGCATGAACAGGGGAGGAGCAGAGAGAGAGGGAGACACAGAATCTGAAACAGGCTCCAGGCTCTGAGCTGTCAGCACAGAGCCCGACGCGGGGCTCGAACTCACGGACTGTGAGATCATGACCTGAGCCGAAGTCGGACGCTTAACCGACCAAGCCACCCAGGCGCCCCGAGAAATCTTAACAGTTGACCTAACTGCCCCAGAAGCACCCATATTTTATACTCACGAAGGCATTATCCAGCACCAAAAAGAGATCAATGTATTTCTCAGCCTGAAGAAAGTCTTCCTGCTTTACAAAGAGTAAAATAACATCATTAATAACCATCTTTATCCTAAAGACTGGAAAAACTTACAATATTTTTTTTTTTTTGCCAGGGGGAAATTCCATCAAAGAATAAGTAAATGAATTATAGCCTTTACCTATAGCAGTAACTGTTGAACACAATGGTATATCATACATCATTGCTGAGACAGTGGAAGAAATGATGACATAGGAAAGCTACGCTTACCTCCGGGCTATTGAGTGACCTAGAGGTTCGAATATGGCCTTGTTTCCTGCCAACACTTCTTACACCACAGGTGTGATTAGCCAGGTCAAGCTCTTCCTGGTTATATGTGATGACAGCATGTTCTTCTTGGTCTGTACTTTTCAGAGGCTTTATCATGTATCTTTGGTCATGATACGCGAAGTATCCTCTGTGAAACACAGAGAATCGTATTTCAAGATTCTCTGCCACACAAAGTCACAAAACTGACCAGAATGGAGCATACCTCTCCCTAAATCCTAAGCTCACGCACACAGTTTTCATTCATAGGCCTTCCAGCTGACTTTTGCTAATTTAAATTATAATCCATACTTGTCAATCGTCAAACGAGGGCTATATTATTTACTAGAAAATTCTAAACAAGAATTGCTCAGATGAAGCTGTCCCAGAGGATTTGACATTCAGAGCATAAGCTCAGGGAATGTTTGTCCATAGTTCATTTATCCACTTAACAAATATTTCTTGAAAGCTCCTGGGAATATAATGGAAGATGGAGTAAAAGAGTATTGACAAGAGAAAGGAAGAGAAAAAATGATGAGCAAATCAGCCAGAGGAATAGGTTGGGACGAGTAATAACTTAGAGAAGTTTTCTTTTTTGGGAAGAAAATCAATTCCGAAACATAAAGTGAATTCATATGATGGAATGTGACAAATACAACATAGATAGTCCTCAAACATTACATTTATGAATGCAGATGTGATATGGGAAGAGGCTTGTGATATGGGTGATATGTGATATGGGTGATAGGTGATATGGGTGATAGGTGATATTGGGTGATACGGGAAGAGGCTTGTGAGATCACGTGATGAAAATATATGTCTATATGCACAAAGGCTGCAAGCATGACAAATAGTTAATGACAGTGGTTATTATTTTTTTTGTTGTTGTTGGTGCTTTTTCTTCTCAAATTTTTCCAAACTGGCAAGAATTATCTTTGCAAACAGAAATATCCCACGCACAAGTGCACGTGCGCACACATACACTCTCAAAATTACGTTCAGCGTAATTTTTAACCGATTATAAAATGATTCCAAGAGTGATACCTGACTCTTCATTTTAATAGCGTTTTACCCCTGCAGGAGATTTTACCAAGATAGGAAGACATGATTTCCAGGAAGACTCAGTTCTGTGCCATTAGAATGGTGCTTGCTGTTTAATATTTTTGCAAATGGCTCTCACCTCAACCCATCACAAAGACTAATGCTGGCAACAGAATCCTTTTCATTGAGGATGTGTCCTTTATAGTAGCAATGCTCCTAAAGTTGGAAACGAGAAATATACACATTTTTTTTAAACTGTAAGAATAAATGTGTCAGTGTTGGGGTGAAAGCTGTTATTTTGAATATGTAGGAAAATTCTTCACCTAGTGGCAGTGGCCAGACCAGTTCCCAGACACAAAAACAGTGAGAACTTCAGAGATTTTATGAACTGCTCCACTACTCACCCTGGAAACTCCATCTTTGACGGCGATGTTCTCTTTCTGGCACTCGTGGCACAAAAGAAAAGTCCAGGGAGTATGAACCTAAGTGGGCTCATGGTGAACTTGGACACTGCATCTTGGACACTGGCGAGTCTCCCTGGGATCGACGATGCTCCCAGAGAGCTCTCAAGTTGGAGGACCAACTTTTGAGAATTTGGCTTCCCTGTGCTGAGTCCCTAAGACACTGTGTGTCACATGTGTATAAAATGAGGAAAGCATTTTTCTAGATACCAGGCTCCTCAAGAAGCCACACTACCACTCCTGAGCCCCTCATGTTAGCTGGTCCAACTCATCGTTTTAATTTGTGTGCTAGTGGGATCCCTTTACCAGCATTAAAACCACAGAGAATCCGTCTACAACTAGAGATTCAGACATGGTTCCTGCTCCATATGAGCAAAGTAGGGGGTCCCTTATGTAGAACGATCCAACAAAGCCATTGAAGAAACGCTTGTTCAAAATAAACTGGTCTCGGGGTCTGAAATTCCATCTATGTTTTTCTTGCATTTGGAAGAAACCTTGTCATCATAAACATTTTCTTGTAGAGGATTTGGAAAAAGTACCAAATTAATATGCCATCAGCCATTCACATTTGAGCCTGAATTAATTTAAATATTAGCAAAAATCAAGATATCCTTGAAGGGAGAGTTTTGATGTGAGAAGGGAACAAAGAACCATTTTATTACAGAAGTTTTGTCTTTTTATAGAGACATGTTTTGGGTGCCCAAGGAGAGCGGCTCTGAGAAACTCATTTAACTTCTTAATACTCCATGATTGAGTCTTTCTGTGTTCTCTTCCTGCCCTTTCCTTGGCATTGATTTTGTATGTTTGACCTCTAGGCCTTGGCATTATCTATAGCATGGTGGTTTAACCAGGTGTTATATGAGTTAAATAATTGATGTCCCATTACTGACCTCAGGATATATGCATAGATTGTTCAAAAATAATAAATGGCTACATGACTTTTCAAGAAGCTACTGGGGAAGATATTTCTAACTTTTTGATAAGATGGTCTAAGGGAAAGTAGACTGGTAGTTGCTTCTACAAATATAATACTTGGAAGCCTCCTACTGTATCCTTACCTTTCTAAAAAGCTGACTATGATTTTTTCATTTGTTCTCTCATTGGTCATAGATGAGCACCTTTGTTCCTAGTCCTTCGATTTCTTTTTTATTTGCCCTTGCATCTGTGCATCGTACAACATAAATAGTAGATCCCAGAAAAAGTCCCAGAAAGCATTCAGAACCTACCATGTTCTGAGGGCTTGTAGTGATTTTCTCCCCTCCGGGTGAGTAATACGTTTCGGTGTAGTCTGGCCCCAAGAGATGTCTGCAAAGTTCAAAAAGTTGCATGATACACGTAAGGTGGTAATAAGGGCTAATGTTCCTGAAATGCATTGCAGCACAAAAAGAATGATTATGTCTATGATGAGAAAGAACATTGTGACCCACTGATTCTTTTCTAACATTGGAACTCTGCTGCTGAAGCCAACCAAAGCCTTAGTTATACCCACTAGATCCAAGGGAAGAAATACCCCCAGATACTTTTCAGCTGCAAATTCTGTATCCTCAAATGGGTTATTTTTAGATTCTTCACAGCAAAGACACAGTCGCCACAGGGTCTCTGAAGGGTGTTGGGTCACAAATATGCATAAAAGACCATTGTATTCAGGGAGAAGTTTACTGACAGACGTAGAACTTGGTAGAGCCCCATCCCCAGGGATCTATCTCAGGGCCGTGTGTCCTGAATGACTCCTACATATGTTCTTTTTTTTTTAGAGAGAGAAGGAGCGCCAGAGGCGGAGAGGGGCAGAGGAAGAGAGACAGAAAATCTCAAGCAGGCTTCACTCTCAGCTCATAGCCCGATGCGAGGCTTGATCCCATGACGCTGGGATCATGACCCGAGCTGAAATCAAGAATTGGACACTCAACTGACTGAGCCACCTAGACGCCCCACATATGTTCTTATAAAAGTAATGGGAGGTCACGTCAAAGATTTGAGTTTATCTGGGTAAGATTTTCAGTAAATCAGGGGAAGTATGAAGGAAGAAAGGCATTATCTGTGTCCTTCCCTTTGTTTATACTTTGCATGTAATTTCCTCAGAAAACATCAACCTTCTTAGATAACATTAGCACAGTCTAATAACATCTAAAACCCAATATACTTCATGCCTTCTATCTCAAATCGCACGAAATAGAGTCTCAAGAAGGTGTATTTTTCCACATTCTCTTAATATAATCTATTGGTTAGACTCAGGAAGTACAACTTACTTGCTTTTTTGTAGGTGAAGAACAACTTCTTCTCCATTTAATGTAATCTGATACTGAAGTTCAGGTTCATATCTGTCCTAAAAATATTTAATAACAAAATGATATCAATTTATATTTCTGATATCAATTATGTGTCTGATATAAAAATGATATCAATTTATATTATATTATAATAAATGATACATGTGGTATCCATAGAAGAATAATTACAAATGCATATAGGATAAAATAATTCTTTTATCTATACAAAATATATAAAACAAAACATAAATTGAACATTTTTTTAAATTTTTTTTAACCTTTATTTATTTTTGAGAC